TTGTATATTGTTTAAATATAAATAAGACCGTTTGTTTTGTCGTTTGAATTTTTTCACATGGTGCATGGTGGCCTTTTGTAGCTACCCTGACTATACGGTGTGTTGAAGGCTGTACGGTTGCCTAAATATGATTTCCTACACCCACTGCATTTAAACTCTGGTGGATAGTTGTCTCATTGTCAATCACACCACATCTAACTTTATTCCAACTTCTACATGTATGTTGCGATTTGTATACTGTAACATTGTTTATCTTTTGTACGCATACCTAGGAGCCCTCTTTTTGGAAGCCTGAGCAAAAGTCCTTGTTCCGCGATAGAAAATTTAATTACGAACTCATATAAGATAGCTCGAATTTCAACTCAAAATCTTAATTAATCTGAATGAGACTTAAATTTGAATCTTACTCAAACTCAAAAAGTGACCCAAATTTAATGTTGTAACTAGAACTCTACCTTTAAATGTGACTCAAACTCGAAGTCCAACTCGAAACTCAATGCTAACTAAAACTTTAATTCTAATAATGACTTGAATTCGAAATCGAAGACTAACTCAAAGTATAACTCAAACAGTAACCCGAACTTTAATTTGAACTCTAATTCGATGGATGGCCACACTCATCCAAGGCACATACAACATGGAAATCTATCTAAAAATAGAACAGGTTTTTCCGAATTGGTCACGTGATTTTACCTCATCAAGTAATGGGATAACCACATCAAAGAATGACAGGACCACATCAAATAATGAAACAAACACATCATGTAGTGTAAAATCGTCGTATTTTGAAACATCATTACGTAATGTTAAAACCATATAAAGAATAGGCAAATCATCATTACCAAATAACAAAACCACATCATGTAATGAGACAACTACATAACGTTAAGTCACATTCACATCAAGTAATGTTAAAACCACATTGACTAATGACACAACCACATTAAATAATGGTGAAACCACATCGAGTAATTGACAAAACCATATTGAGTTATGACAAAACTATATCAAATCAATACGAAACCATATCGTGTAATATCGAAATATCATTAAGTAATGACTATTCCATAATGAGTTATATCAAAACATCATTACGTAATGTCAAAACCATAATAAGTAAAGACAAAATATCATCAAGTAATAACAAAACAACATAAAGTAATATCAGAGTTCCACATAAGACAGCTGTGGCGTTCCATAAAAGGACAACCCCTTAATATGCGTATGTAAACAGTATTATAAACCTTTTTTTTAAACACGTAAATGGATTCTTTATTGTACATATTGTTGTTAAACAATAAAACTTGGTGTACAGCATTCCATCCAGTATCCCTGTTAAATTTACCACTAAATATCCAAGAAGTATATTCAGTAAAATTAACTATAAATAACATAATTCTAAATATCTGAATAAATAAATTACTGTTACAAACAGTCTTTACTACTACAAAATGAGTAGAATAAACTCAGCAATTTCATAAATAAAAGGAGAAAAGCGTCAGTTTAGAAGGTAAATCCAGAGAAAAAAAGAGGACAAAAACACAAACGAAATATGACAAACAAGGAACAAATAGACAATAACAACTTAAGAAATCTAAACTGAAAAACATGGAACAAATAATAACATGGCATTTACTCAGGTATTCTGAAAAGGTGAGCAGTATATGTGAACTGAAGATTATCAAGATTACTCAGTAACGGGTAATCAGCCTATTGATTTCAAGGATGCATTTTCAAAAACAAATTAATAATATGGTACTCTTTTGTAAAGGGGAAGTCTGCATCTCCTTAGAAATTCTACTTGTTCAATACGAATCGACCTTCACAGGAATGTTCATCTCCAATGGCATGTGGAAAAAATAAACATTGACATCACATGTTGCCATTTCTCATTGGGTTAAATACAATAATAATTTTTGAACTAGACATTCATTAAACATTCAAAAGTAAAAGAAATTATTGTTGAAGAATTGAATAATGTGGTCAAATCGACTATCGTCGAACTAGCAAATGGCCAAATCGATCATTGGCTTTTGATCCAAAAACAACACAGGTCAGGTTTAGCTGGAATGACATGCAGTGCCATATGTGTTCCCGATCGTTATTCCAGTTAGTAGAACGCTGGGTAAATTGATACTTTCATATAATCTAATCACAGATACCAGGATGTATATTTTGTATGACAGTCGCGCGTTTCGTCTACCAAAGACTCATCAGTGACGCTCGAATCAAAAAAATTAAAAAGGATCAATAAAGTACGAAGTTTAAAAGCATTAAGGACCCACAGTTCCGAATGATTTTTCCCAAAACAGCTAAGGTAAATCAGTATTTATTCAAAATCGATGTCGTTGGTGATTAGAAGCGTGGAGTCTCAAACTATGACAAACAGTTAAAAGGAGTCGTGTAAATAATAAGCTCGCCAGTGCACGTCCTGCAGTTGCAACATCTGCCGATGTGACTGAGTGATATGTTTTGAATTATTATATTGCACTGCAACTAAGAATTCGTGGTTTTTTTGCTTTTATGCCTATAATAGTTTGATGTTTCCTAAATTGTTGAACACAATTGTACTTGAAAGTTATTCAAAAAAGTTTTTCTTATCAGATGTTTACATATATGCATTGTATACAAATATAGATACTTGTAAATAGTATCTATCACAAGACACAAGAAGTGCACAAGGTTTTAAATACCAATGGTCTATAAATAAAGCAGAGTTTTGAACAGATTACAAATGAGACGGCAATCACAAAATATCACGCATAATATTATCACATTTGTGACAGTCAGTATTCATAACTTTTTGTTGTCTCAGGATTCTTTTCGCCGTTGAGATAGTGTAATTGTATTCTTTATATTGCAGTTCTTTTTGTTCTGTGGTGAGTAGAATATACTTTTTTCTATAATACCCGTATATCAATCAAGGTTTCAACCCTTCCAATTCTATGAAATATAAATTAGACTTTCCGTTTTGAACTTTCCTTTGAGTTCGGTATTTTTGTTTATTAATTTAAGCATCATACACTAGGAATATGATAAATAACTGGTAAAGTGTTAAACGTCGTGAGTTCACACTTTTTCTAGTGGATTGATAACTTTCAGCTTGCTTGAAGTAACCCAAAGCATTATGAGATACGCCCACAGATACGGTAATGTTAATTATCTTTTTTGATACTTTTGTATCGTTTGTAAAATGACACCCTCCATGTGGTCACATGTTATATGCCTTACCATTCATATGGCCCGAACAGCCAAGCACGCAAAATAACATGGTGGCAGCGCAACTAGAAACGAACTTAAACTTTCAATTGTATAACTTTTAAAGAATATCTAAGTGATTTAAAGTGAAAATCATGGAAAATCAGCTGAAAACGCCAGAAAAACTGAACTTTGAAGTGCCCGATCTTGCCCACACGTGGGAGAAGTGGAAAGAAGAATTCTCACTTTACGCAGAACTAGCATAAGACGATAAAGATGACAAATGCAAAGTTAAAATGTTTAAATACTTGATCGGAAGTAGAGGCAGAGACGTGTACGATACTTTGACATTTGCTGAGGATGAAGACGATAGAACAGTCCAAATTGTGCTTCAGAAATTTGACAATTATTGCAATCCGTTGAAAAACGAGACTGTCGAAAGATACAAATTCAATTCTAGGACACAACAGAGTGGTGAGTCCACATCTTAATATGTTACAGAACTGAAATTGTGGCTATGGAGCGCTAGAGGAGTCATCTATTCAGATCGTATAGTGTTTGGAATAAAAGACACCCAGGTACGTGAAAGATTATTACGTGACAGTTAATTGACACTGAAGAGCTGTCTAGACACGTGCAAAGTCATGGTGCAAGATCAAAGAATAACTATGAGACACCGAAGTCTAGGGTGATGAGCCCGAGTGATCGTTTTTGTGGACGCAGGCATGAGCCAAGTAAACAGAAATGCCCTGCATATGGACAATCATGTCGTAAATGCAACAAAAAAGATCACTTCGAAGCAGTGTGTGGCCGTTCCAAACCACAACATCACAAACCGAGTCGTGGAAATCAAGGAAACCAACGTGTAAACTTTATGTTCGATGATCAAGAATCCGAAGACGAGTATTATGACACTATTAGAACCGTAACAAGCGCCCCTACAAAACATGTTTACGCGAAGATGAAGGTAAACGATCGACCAATTAAGTTCCAAATTGACAGTGGTGTAAGTTGTAATGTCATTCCTTTGGACAAACTGAACGGACTAGAATATAAAATTGTAAAATCAAGCACCGTCTTGACTACGTACGATAAATCAGAAATAAGACCGAATGGAAAGACAACATTGAAATTAGTAAACGCGGAGAATGGCAAAATGTATGACGCGACGTTTATTGTTGTTAAGGAAAACACAACACCGATTTTGGGTAACAAGACTATTCAACACATGAATTTAGTGACAATAAATTTTGACAATATACAGGCATTATATACTAATGAGATAAGATTATCCTAAAAATCTGTATTTCGTGAATACAAGGACGTAATCGAAGGAACAGGATGTTTACCAAGAACCTACCGTCTCGAAATAGACGAAAGCGTGAGACCAGTCGTGCACCCACCACGCAAGATACATGTTGCATTACGTGCAAAGCTTAAAACTGAACTAGAACGTTTAACCGACAAAGAAATGATTAAGCCGGTTACCGAGCCGACTCCGTGGGTGCTCGTGATTGTTGAAAAAGTAGCGAATTTGCCTAGACCCTCGTGACTTGAATAAGGCTATCAAGCGCAGTCATTACCCGATGCCGACTATAGAGGAATTGTTACCCGATTTGAACAAAGCTAGAATATTTTCTGTCACCGACGCAAAAAACGGCTTTTGGCATGTAAAGTTAGATGAAGATAGCTCGATGTTAACGACATTTAACACACCTCATGGACGATTCCGATCGCAAAGAATGCCTTTTGGGTTAAATTCCGCGCCGGAAGAATTCCAACGTCGGCAAAATCAGAAATGGAAGGAATACAAACAAAACTTATACAAAGCCGACTGTTGCAATTCCGCAGTGAGTTAACTGGCTAAGAATTATAGATTTATATAAATAGATATTGTATATGTATCTTTAAATTATAGCCTCTAAATCGGTATATATCGAAGCATACTTTCAGCAGAAAAGATTGATCACCACAACAACGAACATTTAGGTTATACAGGTGATTTATCCTTATTCTAATACATTTAATCTTCCTTCTTTTTACCCTTTATTTGTTATGGTTATGTTGTATGAAATTTAAAAGTACATTTAATATATCTAAATAATTTCGAAAATGGACAAGTTAGACATGCCATTATGTACTCGTATCCTGAAAAAAAAATCATTCACATAAATGATATGCATTGTGTAGTGTCATTGCATTTAAATGTACGTTACAGGTTAAATGTAAGATTTATAAAAAAAAAAAAACACAACGCAGAAGTTTTAGAATTTTTGATATAACACGTTGCTAGCATTGCGTGTATTATTTCTCTACTGACTAAATTTATATGTTGTTTTGGAGGGGCAGTTCGAAAGGCTGTTGATTTTCTACAAAATGTCAAAATGATTAGCGTTGAATCAACAAAGTGTACACAATATTCGATAGTGTTATAACAGATATCATATTATAATTATATTTAGGTTATAAAGAAATTGGCATACAAATTTTTCAATTGTCATTATTTCCAGTGATTAACAGACTTAATTCTCCTACGAACCAGCATTTCTTCAATCAAATCACTAGATTCTACTATAATACATTTATTCTGTAAAACAATTCATTTTTATCGGAGGGGGTAAATATTTAGAAAAATGTTCTGTAGAATCTAGTCATGACCTGTGTCCAAACAAAGTTACGTTCACTTTGAAAACAAATTATATCTAATGTAGGGTTTCTTTGACGCTACATGTACAATGGTGTAGGTGTTTTCAAAAATGCATCACAAACTTTCATGACATGACTTTTCATTTTTTGTTTTGTTTACTTCATTTAGATAATGAGCTGGTGCTCTCAGTGTGAAATTGGCCATGGACAGCCGCGAGTTTATCTTTTAAATGGGCGCTGAGCCGAAACAGTAAAACGAACTTTTGCGAACAGCAAATCTCGCGCAGGCGTATTACTTCTCGAACTACAGTTTATTTCATACTATTGTGTAAATAAAAATGCACCTACCCCAGATACCGAATGTTAAAGAAGGCTGTTAAAACGTAATGCATTAATTTTACAAAGAAAATAACTGTTAGATTTCACATCACTTAAATTACGCCTATAGGTGTTTTCAACCATCTTTCGCAGAATCTTTTTTAATGCATGCTTATCACTACACCTTTAGCTATAAATACTTGTACTAATTCAAAAGATTGATGTTCTTGTAATATATTAGGAAAAGAACAATAATCTGCGTTAATGAGATTCCACTTTACATTCAGTGCATTAAAAGGATACAGGCCTAGGAATCACATTTATGAATGGGAACATACGTTACAATGATACATAGAAATATACGTTTTGTTCTAGACACATACACATGTACAATGCCGTTTACTATTATCTAAATCAAACCAATTACTTCTTTTTACTTCATTTGAAGTTCATAAATCCCATGGTTTTCTAGTGAAACCTTGAAGTGTGATATTTTAACTTATACTGATGCATACTTTTAAGTTAGAATATCTGACAATGTCCGCATAATCACAATATAGTATTTTATATAATTACCATATAACAATGATACCTGTGTACCCTTAAACTCCAAAATTTAATTATAATATAATGTGTACCCTTCGTGTTATAGATAATTAAAATGCTTCCGATAATAAGTGTATCTTTACCAAAACATAATCGATGGTTTCGGTAAAGACAAGAAACTTCTAGAAGTTGTTCGACTTATTTACATGTATGTCTAGCTATCGCAAACAATGAAATGGTACAAACCAATACAATAATGTTATATATTTTTAGTACAACAAGACAAACGACATATGTGTACAAAAACAAACATCGATACAGATATAGACAAAGATGTACCAACAAAACTAATACAAGGACGACTGTTGCAATTCAACAGTGAGTTAACTGATTTAGAGTTATAGATTTATTCAGATATTTTAATTTATATATTTGCAATGTACAATTGCAAACACCAATAGATCGTGCATAGGTGATCGTTCAAGATTCTACACACGAAAATATCCTCTTACTTTCCAGGGTTTAGGAGAAAAATTATTGTCATTCCGTTCCCTCCATTTCGTTATTAAACCAAATTCATTCTGTACCGTGACCTTTTCGTAACATATGATTTATAGATATACGAATCCGTAACTTATGATAGATGTGTATGAATGCCATTCGTACAATATGCAAGGTACATCGGAGTCTCATTTTGTTTCAGCTGGTGTCGATATTCTTTTTTCCAATAATATGCTAATAGTTGTAGTAAATTCTATCTCATTGATGTATATTCCATATGTCCTTTTTTTCAAATGAGATATTCAAATATCGTTTTGATTGGTTGATTTGTTGATTGTTGAATTATTACGTTCAGTGTCAATAATTTCGTGCATTTGCAGGACGAAATATGGTTTTGATTACAAAAAAGATCTCGTAACATTTATGTTTTAATTTGTTAAGCGACTTTACTCGTTTGAAATTGTAGTAAATACACATCATAGTCATACAACATCGACACATGCAAAATGAAAGTTCGTATGTTGGGACATAAGTAACATCATGCTTTGTTGGCATTTTTTTATCAGTGATTCATTGTTGAGAAACAGAATAGAACACACTTTTGAGAGTTTTATTAACAATTTAGATTGGACCTTACAGGATATTTGGTGGAAGCATCAGATTCAACGAATGCATGATTTACTAAATTGAACTAATCTTGTTATATATTGTTATTGATGAGTGTTAAATTTGTAATTGAGGTTTTATCAATATCTCAGCTTAAACAGTAAAGTTTACCTCGAACTATTAATGTTAACTTAACATTTTTATCGGCATTATATTGATATAAGTTAATGAGAATTTGAATTATATTAATATTATTTGTCGAGAGCATTGCAAATCTTCGAATGGAAAACCTTCTGAATGCATTTAAACGGTGCATGTTTCTCAAACTGTATAATACCTTCTTCATAATACGAAATCCAAAACATTTTACTAATACTTTTCTTCAGCCCAAACAGCTGATATAAAAAGAACATTTACAAAACATGACTTTAAGGATGTATTTAGGTGAGATTTTGGAACCCCTTGATAATTCCTTACTGTAAAGGGTATAATATTTTGCCCCATAACACCCATTTATCTTTTTATATAAGACTTAATAGCTTGTTAAAGGTCATTTACCAAAATTTAAGCAGATTCTAGATTTCTTTTCTTTTTGATTTGAGACCCATATAAAACCAATGCAATTATAAGGTCAAAGTCAGTGTCATTCTTTTCCCACCATATTTTAAAAATCAAATATCTTGAAAAGGAGCTCCATAACCTATCAATATTTTAAACTTATTTTGTTCCTTAACTATTGTTTTTCTTACTTGTAGTATCAATTTTAAATTCTTGATTTTTGTAATTTCACCTAAGTACATCCATTATTAGAAAATAAAAATTGAAGAATACTTAAAAAAAAAACTAAGTTACTTTGATATTTTGCTTATGAAAAACTCGTCAATTATGAGTATTTTAAAATGCGAGAGCTTTTACATTCATATAAAACATTTCGCAATTTGCTGAAAATGTGAAAACCAAAAAAAACGTCAATTGGAGAAATAACTTACAAGGATAAGGTTGAAAGTTCTCCTTAAAATAGACTACGATATGAAAAACAACAAAACACCTTGTTATTTGTAGCCTGATGACAATACATGACGATATTTATAAATGCCATATAGTATGAAAAGTCTTGTGTTCTCAAGGAAGATCATGTTAACATTGTATTGCCGTACAATATGTAAAGGACGGCCATGTAAAATAAGCAATGGAGACATGCATATATAATATACTTTGTATCAAAAATATCTTCTATTACGCTCATATAAATTTATATGTCATGAAGTTTAGATATTGGTCAGAAAAGCTACAGTCAATTTCTATATATGTTGCTCTTTACTGTAGTTTATTTAACTTTGGTAAGAAATTTGTCTTAAATTCAGTGAGAATTTATAGTCATTCTTCAGTTACAAGAAGATGATAATGTATTCCAAACTGGTAATTTAATTTGGGAAATTTGCATGCATTTGTTGAAATAAGTTTTAAATCATTCAGAATTTAAAGAAAACTAGACTGATTTAAAAACACATTTTTTAGAACGACAAGAAAACCAAAATCCTTAACATACTCTATTAACTCAAGAGAAAGAAACCGAGAGTCCGACGCAAACAAGACAAATTCACCATTTATTGGTTTTATACTGTGAGTATGCATCTTTGATAGTTGTTAAATGATAAATATGAGATCAATTTAAATTTGACAGAATAAAAAAGTTAAAACAAATCGTCTGACATTTGAATTTAAACCAAAGTATTTTTACTGTTTCTTTGAATGTGTTTGTTACAACACTTAAGGTCGATGCCAATACTCGTTTAAGTTTGTTTGTTTATGGAATCATCAGCTACTAAGGTGTTAGCACTCCTGTGTTGACAAATTATTGATACATCCATTGCATCGATTGACTCTTTTGGTCGCAGTTTTTACACAAATATTGTTCAACAACTTCAACAATAATCAAAACAAATATCGTCTAACATTCTAAAAGGAAAAGCACCCTGATGAGAAACTGATTAAAGCTTAAAAAAAACACAAGAAAGACAGATAACAACTAATGAGAACCATTCGAAAATATGGCGGTTTAAAACATTATTGTGCATAGTCAACAATCCTTAACCTGGAATTACGGTGTAATAAAAGACATTCAAACGAACATTAAAAATCCGTTGAAAACAGTTTGACACCTTAGATAGCTGCTGAACATGCCAGCACCAACTAATAAATCTAAAAGGCTATCTACGTAAATACTAGTCTCACTACAATGATGTTAAATTAAAGATTTACTGATAGACAACACAACATTTACTATTTCTAATAATATCAAACGAAACATCGTCACTTTTGTTTAGTGTGTTTCAGTATAGAAATTTTTGTAACATCACAATCCCGAAGTGTACAAATATTGCTTTAAATGATATATTCGTAAAAATAATAGTTAGTCCAGTGGAGTAAAATTCTACAGTATAATCAGAGAAATCTTGATTGTTTGACACAAATCAATAAGAATAAGTTTAATAGACTTAATTGGTTTCGTCTTATAAGAATTTGAAAAAGAGTTCTATTGTGTTTGGCTACAAACTTGGTTCATCAAATTTGATATTTAAGAAGCGATATTGGTGCACATATGTACACTTACCGATACTATTATGTTCGTGCAGTTAGCTATATATAGCTAGTAGTTCTCATGAATTATCAGAGTGTTATGACTTTTTCAATATCACATGTATACATGATCAGTACATCTCCAACGGGTTTTATTAAAAGACGTAATAAATAGTCATAGAAAAGCATGTTGTCACAAAATACATGTACATAATATCAACAGAATATAGGATCACGAGTTAGATTATCTGTACATATCATCAATATATAAAAAATCGAGGGTATTTGTCAATACTAGTTGGAGCCGTTAAAGGGATTGCAAATAATAAAACAAAAATCTCTGGTAGGATTTCTGAGACATGTATATACCAGAGTTTGTATGTACTTATATTTTTTAAGCTACTGGAACACCAAAACTATGTCTCAAATAGACCAGAAAATTTGATATAAAGCCTCACCCCACATACTCTTACAAGACGATAAATGTCCAGAAACTCGAGAAAAAAAGTTACTCCGCCGAATAGATATCAACCAAGCAGTGTACGAATACGCAAATTATATGTGAAAAACATTATAACTCTTAAATCAACATAACCAAACCAAACCAAAAAAGGATCAAACATAAAAAAAAAATAACAATTGAATAACAGAAGTGCGTTAATTAGCTTTCAAAAACAAGCTTACAAGAGATTACCGTACTGCGTCAGCAGACTTCCTGAAAAATTACGGAAAATTTCTCGTTGTAGGGGATTAGGAATACCATCGATAATTCTCTTAGCATGTTTTGTACCTGCGTATGTAATGTGTAAATGTTCAACTAGTGTTAAAAAGATGAAAACTACACGCAAGATATTACACAAATTGTCAGCTCAACAAGAGGCAAATGAAATACCGCCATACGCTGTTGCATGTAAGTTTATTTCCGACTTCATCCTCTGTACATTCACTATACACAAACAAGTATCATAACAAAGTCTTTGATCTAGCATTGTCTTCGTCAAGGTCAAAATAAGTTCTCGATTTTATGCAATTATCTTTTTATAAATTTTACCGATCTTTTATAGTCTCTAGTTTAACAATCCTTGAGATTAAAATGATTTTCCTGAAACAAAAATCTTGTCATATCCTTCAAGAACACGGTTAAGAATAATAGTGGACCAGGAAGTATTTACAATTTCGGAGAACATGAATTCACTTCCAGTTTGATGATATTGGTGCACTTTATTTTCGGTTTAATCATTGTTCAATTGTCGTTTGTCTTTTTTTTTATCCAAACAAAATAAACTTTATTATATACTGTGTAACAGTTTATTTGGTTATCAGTATTGGGCTTTTGTCGTTTTTTAAGATATGGTCTTGATTTTACAAAACAGTAGGGTTTTGATAAATTTCCTTACGTCTCCTCTCTATTTGTAAAGAACTATACATATTAATATGCATGATGTATCTGCAATGAAACAATGTTAGTACGATATCATCTCTCTCTTTTTCTATTCAAATGATTGATCGTCGGTTCAGAAAACCGAAGAATGTGTTTAAATTTCATTTTACAAAATAAGTTGCAGTAGCTTAATCATTCAGGATGTAACAAACAAACTTCATTTCACGGTATTAATTTTTTCATTTTAAATAACCAAGGTTTTTTTTAAATTATAGATGTACGTTTGCAAAAAGGCAAATATGCTACTGTGGTAGCATCAAACAAAAAACAAGCCTTCCATTTTGATGACGCAGATAACAGTGATGACGTAAATGGCCATACAGCAACGTTTCTTGACGGTTATAAGACAGAATCAGTGTTATGTATCAATGATGAAAGGGTTGACGAACAATTTGAACATCCAAACAATATTCCAAAAGTCGATTCTCCTACATAATAGGAGGCAACATCTTAAATAATTGCCTTTATGATATATCGTTGAAAACAATTTCTTTGCGCATACTCCAAATGTTTGTGATTATCACTAGGTTGTATCATCAAATTACACCTTATTATCTTTAAAAACGTATTCATCCTCGCCTTTGTGACAAAAAATTATTATTGGAATAGTTCCAATCTCATTATCTCTATATATCAAAATTTCTAGTCGAAATATTTGTTCTTATATTTTGTATGTTTGTCATACATTGTCAGATATAAAAAATTTAAAAAAAAATGAATGGGTCTATGAATACCCATGCTAAATCAATCTCTAAAGATCCTAATTTTACAAAATACCTGTCTTACATCCATGAAAAATCTGCTGTTGTCTCCGCAGATATAATCCCAAACAACATCGTTTTTGTGTGAATATCACATTATATAAACTGCTTGATAAATGAACTATGTATTGACAATTCACTCGGATATTCAACATAAACCACCATGACACTTACCAAGTAGGAAATCGTTGATAAATATAGGTCTGTTCTAAGTTCCATTGTAATGGCAACCAAAGACGAAGAACTGAATCTTTCATCGCTGTATTGTATACCCAAACTACACAAGTGTCCTTACACACGTTATATTTTCTTCCAAGTGCTCCACGAAACCTCTTTCTAAATTATAATTATAAACATCAGTCTTATCATTAATCACAACCAGGCTTCAAAGTTATATTGACACTACCTATTCTAGAGGTGGCGTATATCAGATATGGATAATAAAAATCAAATGATCTTTAACAGTATATACAATCCAAGCCTCCTTAATCTTGCAAAACTATTAAAACATTTGACTTTTCTACACTTTACGCAAATATTTCCCATTCCAAACTTAAAGACAAATTGTGACAGAGTTGGACCTACTTTGTGTCATACAAAATAACTGGCCAACGTAGATACACGTATCTTGTCTCAGGGAGGGATAAATCGTACATTTTAAAAACATCACTCTGATTAAAAAAAATCTCTGAAACTGATATTATCAAAATGCTTGATTTCATGATTGTCAACTTATTTGTTCTGATTGGAGGTAATGTTTTCCAATAAACAATAAGCATCCACATGGGATTCAAGTGTGCTCCTCTTCTTATCGACTTAATTTTATGAGGCGTACGTAATACAGCGACCTCATAGGTAGAAAGAAAAGAAGTTAGCAGTATACTTTGACTTTACTTTCAGCTATATAGTTTTCTCTCTTAATAACTAAAAATCTGGTGACCTTGTTCAAATCGTCTATCACATTGAACTTGAGATAAAGGATGCGACAGTTAATTTTGCCTCATATCTTGACTTAAATCTAGAAATTGACCATAAGTAGATATAAGAAGATGTGGTATGAGTGCCAATGAGACAACTGTTCATCCAAGTCACAATGTGTAATAGTAAACCATTATAGGTCAAAGTACGGTCTTCAACACGGAGTCTTGGCTCACACCGAACAGCAAGCTATAAAGGGCCCCAAAAATTACTAGTGTAAAACCATTCAAACGGGAAAACCAAATTTAATCTATATAAAAGTTACTTAATTGGGAATAATTCAGAGAATGAAGTATTCTGTTTTACCGAATATATATAGTGATCGGTTTATTAAAAAATTTAAACTTTAAATTTCATGCGTCCGTAGCTCTTTTATGGATTTACTTTCATCACGAGAGAGCTTGTAATAGATTAAAAAATACCTAGTTACTTTATTGCTAATATTTCAGAGAATTTATTGTTCCGTTTTAGCGAAAAGTGATCGGTTTAGTAAAAAAAAGGAAAACAACACGTTATAAATTTTATGCGTCCGAAACGCACATTTCTTGATTTACATTCATCGGGAACGCTTAAAGCCGAATATTTGAAAGCCAAGGATGTATAAGTCCGAAAACGTTGAAGTGCTATAAACCAAATATCACTAAAAATAGCCAAATTCATATAAGGCTAACATTGCTTGAGGGAGTTTAAACGTAAGTTTCTGTATAAATATAAACGGGCAAATAAATAATTTTAGTAAGTTGAAAGTTAATCCAGACGTGCTACAAACGATACGGAATCATTACATACTCACTTCAATGCACAATTGTATTCATCAGATCCATGTAGTTTTTTTGTTTTATTAAAGCAGTAGACTTCAAATATTCAGCACGTTACGAAGTGTCACATCAGTACTTTTCATCTTTTCATTTCGCTATGTTTTGACATTTTCATCTCTATATAATTCCAGCGGTTAACTGATTGTTCATAGTAAAACAGACTCATCCAACTTTAACATAACAGTTAAATAATTTCATAATTATAGTCTACCTGTGATTATATTTATCTCAGTTTATCAGTAAAAAAATGCGCGCAAATGTGATCAAAAGATGAACGTAAACGTAATGATTTTTGTGCGCAAATGTGATGCACCGATTGTCGAAAATTATTTATTCATGAAATTGGCCACTTGACCCATATCGAAAGTTCCCTCCTCCGAACAAGATGGCAGCTTTAACTTAACTCTTATTGGGGAAAACACGACTAGTCTTACAGGGAGGAACTCTTCCTGTTGAATGTAACAAAACAATCTTCAAAAGAAACTGTTGTACATGAACTATTGGTCTTTTCTGTAATGTCTTACTAGTTTACCACTATGATTTGTTTTAGTTAGCTCTTCCTCTTCCTCATTCATATTCTCGGATGAAACAGTATCACCTGCATATTTTGCTGGCGGAAGAAAAGTTATGTAAAATTATGAAGTAAGGATAATTGTATTATAGTTCACCTAAATATTTTCAAGCTCTATTGTTCCTAAAGGAGCTACCATTTGATTCTCTGCGATGAGTCAGGAATTTGTACCCAAAGTCAATTTTTTTACACGGATTAAATTAAACCTGAACGAATAGCTAGCTCAACCTATCACTTGTTTGACAGTCGCATAAAATTCCATAATATTGACAACAATGTATGAGCAAAACAAATAGACATGATACTAGTAGATAAAATTGTCAACAATATGGGTACAACAGTCAACTTTGTAGTTCAATCTTAATCACTATAAAAATAAACGAATATTTCAACAAGAAAAACAAAATGGCATATAAACAAAGCACATCAGCGAAAATGAAAGACAAGAGTACAAACAATTAAACAACGTCAGTGCCTAGATTTTTAACTTCAAGACCATCATGTATTATTTGCGAAGTTGATACTGAATATTTATCAACAATTAATGGTAATCTTCCGATGAATTGGTCGGTTTTGTTAAAAAAGACTAGACGTTCTTTAACATAACCCTGGTTCATCGACTTTCTGCTCGAATAACAGCTGCAAGCTTTTGATAGCGAATGATTTGGGAAATGCAAAACATCATATGCAGGTAAAGTTTGTATATTGCTACTAAGGTGCAGGAAACTGGTAATTTTAAATTACAATAGCCTCGTTTGTCATAGATTCTGGTACACTGAGTTGACCGCACATGTCAAATTCGAGGCATAAGTCTAAAAATGATGCTGAAGAAGTCGTGTCTGTTTCATTAATTTCCTGTTCTGGATGATATATTAATGTAACCCAATCACGAAAGTTTAGAATAATAATGGAAGAACATCATAAATATCTCTGATCTTCAATCAAGCAGGAACAACCCGGCTACAGACAGTCAGCTCTGAAAGGGCCTTAATCTAAGAAGTACAATTAATTACACAGCAAAATGCCAAAATATTTTCATCAAACTAAAAGATTAAACAAGGTACATCAATAACAAACACATACTTTTACTCTAATATCAAATATTTCGAGGGAATTCTTTTTCTTTCAGTAGGAGAACCTTGGAGGAGAAACAAAAATGTCCTATCTATTTTGTTTTTTCAAGTTCTAACTTGAGGACGGAAGATTAATTCAAGACCCTTCTTCTAAAGACCAGCCCCTCAACATTTCTCAATACTTTTGTTCTGCAGAACAAAATTATATGCATACAATTTCTATTCATAAAATATTAAGTAATACAATATGCATCAGTAGTAGATCAAGATTTTCCAGTGAATACAGTTGTTTGTGGCTTCGAGGAACTTTATTTGGATATGTCTGGTATTGTCTCAAAGACATTTACCACACCTTCATTCAATTTTAGCACATTATTTGTACACACACTTCAGATAAAAAAGACTTAACTGGAAGAACGCGTTCGAAATAAGGATTTGGATCTTAACGATTGAAATGATTGAGGAGATCGGAACGAGGCGAAAAACAATTAACGTCTTTTATGTCAAAATTCATATTTTTTGCTATTTACAGCGATTATTTTTGTTCCTCAATTATTCAAAACATGTCCTAGGATATCCTACGTAGGTAATCAATTAATCAAAAATGCATTCCTAGTTCTTCAAATAATCATGAAATATTTGGCCTAGTATATCAAAATCCCTATAAAAAAGGACCAAGTAATCTTATAAGCAACAAACTCCATGAGGAGGTACGTTGAAGAATTCACCTTCACCGTTCAATTATTTTCAATAAAAGGATATTTACTGATTAAAGAGTATTATGCATGCATCATCATTTGTATAATCTCAAGCTTCGTTTACTAGAATCAAGTAGAAAATTTGACATCACAGCAAATTTTAAAAATATATTTAATATTTCCGGAAACATAAATAGAAGTTTCAAGTTTACAGAGGATTTACATACTTATACAAGTGTTACATAACGTTACTGCTAGACATTGTTTCAGAAGCTGCCTCAGCACGTATGTTAATATCACCCCGTCAGATGAGAAGTTTTAAAAAGGGTAGTTTTTTTTATATGTCTGTCGTAGAACCGTTCTTCTCTTTTTTTATATCTTATATGTAATACGTTATTATAGCAAATTGTGTATATATTTTATGTCCTTGTCTGGCTTAGTTTTGTTTCATATAGTAATGTAATCTTGATGTTGTCGATACTTTACGTTGTGTTAAAACATTATGAAATGGCTGGTGTATAGTAAATATAAAATTACCATATGCATGCACGGGTGAAAAATATGAATAGTCATGGACATCATTCGTAAATATAGCTCAACATGCAGACTTCTTATACGTTCAGGTATTTCACATCCAATTTTTTATGAAATTATAAAGCACAAAAATGTCAGTATTCACCTCTGAAACTAACAAAACCTTTAAATAGACTTATTAAGAAGGGATATAGTTACGATACTGTTGTCAGGTCATTAAAGATTGCATATTTTGGCGTTAATATTGATTCACTTATAGGGTCTTTGCATCGGCACTAAACACATTTATTTAAAAACCAGTTGTTGGCATGACACGGGTTATGTTCTTCTCATATATGTTATGATGGTATGATACTAAACCCCTAACGGGAAGGATTGTGCCTGATATTCATATGATGAAGACATAATCTTTCAATCAGTTTAATTGAAGTCTGGAGCTGGCATGTCAGTTAACTGCTAGTAGTCTGTTGTTATTTATGTATTATTGTCATTTTGTTTATTTTCTTTGGTTACATCTTCTGACATCAGACTCGGACTTCTCTTGAACTGAATTTTAATGTGCGTATTGTTATGCGTTTACTTTTCTACATTGGCTAGAGGTATAGGGGGAGGGTTGAGATCTCATAAACATGTTTAACCCCGCCGCATTTTTGCGCCTGTCCCAAGTCAGGAGCCTCTAGCCTTTGTTAGTCTTGTATTATTTTTAATTTTAGTTTCTTGTGTACAATTTGGAGTTTAGTATGGCGTTCATTATCACTGAACTAGTATATATATTTGTTTAGGGGCCAGCTGAAGGACGCCTCCGGGTGCGGGAATTTCTCGCTGCATTGAAGACCTGTTGGTAGCCTTCTGCTGTTGTCTGTTCTGTGGTCGGGTTGTTGTCTCTTTGACACATTCCCCATTTCCATTCTCAATTTTATGTCTATATGTACCTGTTAGTTCACAATAAGATCTACAAATAAAGGTACAAGGTACAGCCAGATATTACGGTTAATGCCAAAGGATAGATTTCAGTAATTTGGGAGTGGGATATATGAACTATTAGTTCTTAACTTTTTGGTTAAAGGTGATTTATACAGGATATGTATATTTGCATTTAATG